GATTGAAGAGCTGGAAGCACTGGACGACCGATTGATCGTTGCATGAGACTGGTGATCAGTGCGCCTCAATGTTATGGCCCTGTTCCTGTTGAGTATTGTGTCCCAGTCTACAGCTCACAGTCCATGAACATATCGAACAAAAGTACACCATCAATATTTCAATATTGTTACCCACTTGTGAATGATATCATAGCAATACTGTTGCAGCACTGATCAATAGACTTGCTGTGATTGTTGACTGAACGAATTCAGTCTCACATTGTATTGTTGATGGGAACGCCGGTCACACATGTGAATGATGCACTGCTGAAAACAACAGTGTTGATGAGTGTAATATGCAGCTACACAGGAAGCAAACAAAGTCACATTGATGACACGGAAAACTTGACTAAACAGAATACTGATGAAAATATCAATTGAGTATATAGGGACAGTGAGGAGGTTTGAGTTTTCGAGATGAGACGATTATTGCTAAAACTAGTGAGAATTCCCGCGACTTCAAAAAATATGAAGACCATAGTCAATGGGATATTTTGGAACAACTGACACCAATCTTATTACTTTAACCATGCGCTGGTCCATCGATGAGACTAGGTTTATAAATTATGCCTCGTGCTTAACTGTATCATCTCAAATAATGACAACTTAATTTGTCGGAAACATTTTGTTCACTTAGCATAGATTCTCTCTTAATAAAATGGAAAGCATGTGACGTCCGGAAGCTACTTGGGAATCAGATGAGGTGAGTACTTATCGACTTACATCTGCAAATCACAGCTTATTGGTATAACTACATATACTCCATAAGGAGACTGATGTCCGCCAAGACTATAATTTAATTGCAGCATTGCTGAGAAAGTACATAGCGAACAAGTGTTTGACAACTGATAATTTTTCTGAACGTTGCTTCTAAACATGTAATAGTGTAGAATGAAACATATTGTGGAGCAAAAAATAACTTGGACTTTCTCTTGCCATCCGCCTTAGACAGATTATTGCTTCATTTCGGTTGAACAATACTAGCAGAAAAAATTAAAGCGACGACTGTTATCTACTTTGGTGAAGTATATCATTACTTTACTCATTTGGCGGTAATATCTACTAAGAGAAGTAAGTTACAACTCGAACAGTATTATGTTGATGACAAGTCTCACCGACTCGAATATCAACTAAGGAACCAATTAAATTAAGTAAGCAAATGATATCTGTCCCCTTGTAGTTCGAAGCTCCTCAAAATTGTACACCTATGACATGCTATGCATCGGGGCCTAAGTCACGCGTAAAATGTTAGGCTGAGAAATGACTGTGGTCGAGGATGTGTACATAGCTCAGTAGTTTTGCGACGTTCGTCTTGAGGTTGGTTTTGTTTCGTATGTTGACGAGTCCTAGACGGCTACAAAGTTGCTTCCAAACTTCTTTTGGTTCTCCGAAGTTATTCCGTGACGGAAACTACTATATATATATATATATATATATATATATATATATATATATATATATATATATATATATCAGAAATGCTGCTGTTCAGTCATATATATATGTTGACTAAACACTTAAACATTATGCAGAGTTCGTTGCGACTGCCGAAATGCAGAAAGATTAACCAAGCTGAGACAATTAAATTCACCATTACTACAATATGAACACTTCCATTTATTCTTGTCATACATGATTACACTTGGATATTTCATTTATGCACATAAGATTCAAGCAAATAATTTCGCTATCAGTTTTCTGATGCATGATGCTGGACTTGTATGATTATAGCCAGCCAGACGGGAAGTGACTTATCGGAGATAAGATAAAAAGACTTGCTTCCATTTCTGCTACAATTTTTGTACTGTTAAGCCGGTCTTTTGTGACAAATAATATCAAAGGGTTTTTCTACAAACGCGGTGAGAATACCAATTGCAGTGAGTTTTACCTAATGTGGATTAGATTACAATCTATTGTGAGGTAGTCGCTTCTATCAAATTATATATTACAAAAGCGATTATCATCTTTCTTTAAAATAAGCAACCAGTGTAATCCAGCAAGTCGATCTTACCACAGTTAGTGATTTATGTAAAATTTGATTCACTTAATTAGAAAATGAAATAACTATTCAATTATAAGTGAGATATGTGGCTTTCCTATTATAGCTATTTCACATATACTCCTATCATTTTAACATTTTTCTCTGTTTATAGATGATACCACAAAACACATGGGTCGACGAAGACAGTTTAGCTTGAGATTACTCATACCTTACGGACATATCAATTTTAGAAAATACAGAGAATATATCAAATTATAATCATAGATTAAATGTTCTATTAAATATAATTGTCCAATACTCATCTTGATTAAAAAGTTATGACCAGTTGTAGTACGTATATAAAATAACAAATTGAAGTCATAATCCTGAATACTAACACGTCCGTAACAGGACGCAAGTTTATTAGCTAAAGATTCGAAAAACCTAAAACAATTGAACGATAGTACGAAACTGACAGAGCAAGATTTTTTAAACTGTATTCAAGGTTACAGCCATCAGAATATTTAGATCACTTCTATGATGAATATGACATAAACTTTCGTCCGTGGTAACCTACACGGTTACGTTTTTTGGATAAATCGGTACTTAATGACTATTTTACTTATGGGAATAACATCAGAAAATCAACTGAAAAACCCTTAATAGTGATTGAGAATGTTATTGAGATGAGAGCCCACTGAATTTAAACGAGATAAACAAAAAAGGACAAACAAGAGTCGCAAAACAAATGATCCTACTCCTAAGCTCCTAATACAACATACAAAATACCAGGTCAAAAAAAACTCACGTTCGACTAGATAGAAAAGTGAAATTAGTAAGAATATCAGCAAGTCCAATATCATTACTACTTCTGAAGTGGCGAATAAAATATATATTACGAATCTGCATACAGCTTGACAGATAGCCATAAGTTCTCTCGAAGATTATTTGTACATATGAACCTCACGTACAAATACTTTCATTGGGACAGTCCGAGTACTGGGAACAATTAACCGGATTGATGTAACACGGTAGAAGGATAAAGCTTTAGCCTGAATTATCACTTTCTTAGTGTTTGACTGTTGGAATTCGTTGCCGAACAAGCACTGATCACATCAGCAAATACTTTTCGAGAGTAAAAAATTCGCAAAATGGAAACAATAATGCAAATGAGCAGCAGCAACCATGATAACAACTTATGCATTGATTTCATTCGAGGATGGCCATCGTAAGAAACTGACTTACAAGTAAACCTGCGACTTCAGAACGACAGCTAAGTGGAATGCGGTCAGAGCCCCGTGACCTTACTCAGGATGGAACTAGATAGCGTATGAGGGTACATTCGGTATTTAGACCAACATAAGTTAAACGAATGTCAGATTTAGTTATCAAAGGAGCGCTCATCACTTTAGACTGTTCCCATGGAGTGGCAAGGACGTGATGGCCTATAGATCTCCATAAAGTGACAAACGAAAGTAGGACTTATGGCAAATCTGCCTAGTGCGTCATTAAGAAGTTTATTAGCTTAGACATGCAACCAAGAACAACATCCTTGTAATTTATTTGAACACATAAATATTGGTACAGAGGGGCATAAAATATATACTTACCACAGAAATCCCCTAATATGTATGTGAGCTATGATACAACCCGAACCAAAGGAAAAGAATTTCTTGAGGGCCCACACTTGTAGCCTATGACCTGATCCACAAGGCAGTGGAGCAACGTCAGATATGCAGTCCCATAATAGTCGGTGACTAACCACTGGTCCACATATTATTTGTTTCCTGAGAATTCTGTAGCCACCGCGTTAGAAGTCGAGTTTTCTAACTTCCCTAGGTAGAACCTCTAAATCCGGCAACCCAGTTGAGGGGCCGGACATACGCTTTTTATCCGCTCAATTTTGCAAACACCCCCACACGAGAAGGCAATGAGGTTTCCCCTGGTAGTAGCTGTATACGAGAGCATTTGGAGAGGGATTATTCCTACCTTTATCCGTAGCAGAGCACTTGGAGACTTTCTTGACTGATGAAATCTAGATATCTGGATAATGCCAGCAGTATTTGCTTAACATATAAACGATTATATTACTAGCGATCTAACGCACTATCAACGGACAGAACTAATCACTCGACCAACGAAAAAGGAACTAATACACAAAGATTTTGCATTATGTACAATAGAAGGACGACAAGAACGAAGCGTCACTTTATTCACAGAACTTATGAAGAAACATTCACTACTAGGCAGATGTTCACGGTTAGTTTGATTTGGCAATTACCTCAACTTGACTGCATAAGATCACTTACTGTACCTCCCGAGCGAGAACCGTGTGAGAAACTTCAGTAGTAAGACAATGACGCTCGCGCACTTACGGGGATTGATAATGGATACCACATTTTCGTCTGACGCTACGGTATTCATCTACAGAGTAATTTGGTTTCGACACAAATGCAATCTATTCAAGAACAAATTGAGGCGACAACATAGTATCTTCACGTGTTGCAACTTGCAAACACTTCAAGGCTAGTCAAATATATGATTATTGATTAGGGAAATTTGCCAACCACCATTCAACTTATAGCTCGAATACTTAGTAAAATGAATGGTGATGATGATTACTCGGTTAAACTAATAACTGGACGAAAACAACCACCCAGTATTTCGCTGAAATAACTTGTGCCGAAAACCAGTGATAACTGCGCTGGTACTACACTGTTTAAAAAAGTTGACAAATGAACGTAGAAGTCAGCTAAAGATTTTGATGGTTTCGTAAATATAACAGATTCCTACCAGCTACGTAACCACACTGATTGTATTCCGACCTACGATTAATTCTAAACTTACTACTCGCGTCAAACTGCAACTACACAGTTCCTGAGCTTGAAATCAGTTGGAGTGTTCGCTACATGTAACACTGCGAACACTTGCAAAATGATAATCATTTAATTCGCCCGTGCATTAATTGAGAAGACGCTTCGTATACCAACCTGTATTTATTGATCACTCATTTTCAGTGGATCTCAAGCCAGCGTTGGCGTTCACAACTCTTATGCTAAGTTGTTTGGCACGCTCAACAATTTTGACACGATTTTTTCTTGCCACAGTATGTGCGATAACTGCAGCATGAGTGCGATGTTGCATAAGTAATACCTCCAGCTCCTTAAAAACCGAGTTAGAAGATTAGAGGCTCACCTTAACATTGCGGATCAAAACGTGCTTGAAGCCATCAGGGTGGATATGACGAGTTCGTTTGGCACTTCCATAACCAATTTTGGGCATACGCACTTGCCCCTTGAATCTCCGTCGAACTCTGTTATCTATACCTCTTGGTTTTCTCCATTTGTCCCCGAGTCGTTTGTACAGATCACTGTGATGACGATGCCATTTCTTTGGGTGCTTCTTGATTATCCTTGGGTGATGTAACGGTCGAATTGCCATATTCGATATCAGCTATCGGGACAGACACCAAACCGCGTGAGTATGCCGGACTTCGAAAAACCCGCCTAACGAATTGCTAAAAGTATCACAAAATTCTAAATTCAATGTTGAAAAGTAATGTCTCATAAATTCAAACACTAATTTTACTACATCAAAAAGTCACAAATTGAAAATTTCCTACATGTCTCTGAACGGATCGTAAGTTGCATTTACAGATGTAATATTACTGCTTATCAATAGAACTCTCTAAGAGGTTTGGTGCTTGAAATGAGGTGGGATTCTGTAACATTTTATAGTTAAGTTTGAGGTTGAAAAAAGAAGCGTAAGCCTTCACTACGGTAGGATTCGATAGGTAATGTTTAGTCGCCTTTTTTATTATTGAAGACTTCTTTGCTCTACTTAAGTAATAAATTCTCGATAGTTTATTTTTATTGAAATGTGCATACTATCTATTTATTATGAAATTATGAAATAATTATAAGATTTGGGTAACCTGCATAGGATTAAGATAGACTGGTCAAAATCCATAGTGAAGATTAACAGAAGAATCACCCATATCATTATAAATTAAATTCTGCTTCACATTCATTCCAAAAGTGAGTGACTATCTGAGTTCATTAGCTAAGTGTGTAGCTCACAGACATTTGAAGTAGAAAACACTTGGTTAGGATCTCTAAGCTACTGTCTGTCCAACTTTGCCTGTGAAAGTAAATTTGTGATATAACTGTATAATATTTTTATTGGGGTAACCTGAATTCTTTAGTTCTCTGTATACAATTATCACATGGACTTCTAATCACATCTAACCCAGCAAGAGCGACTGTAGACGGCAAAGTTTGTATTTATTACCAATAGCTTCTCACAAGCATTTGTCGTCCACAAATATAAGGGTTTACAAAGTTTTTGTTTCATGGAGGTCCTTAATGAATATAAGTCGTAGCGTTAAATAAATCCTCAAAATATATAGTTCTGTAAATCCTCGACGTTTGGTGCTTACCGCACTATTTTTACTGGACTCACTTAGCTGAATGTGCTCAGTGACGCATGCATACCAGATCAAAAATATGTACGCCGTGCCATGCATCATTTGCAACCGTTGGAGAACTTCGAAACTCTTCACTTCTGATTTATGATTTGACTGAGCTGGCATACACAGAATACTAAGGTGTTACTGGTAAAGACGTCAATATTCGAATACTTTTCGCATCTTTAAAGTAATAACACTGCGTCAGCGTAGCATTCCTGTTCTGTGAAGTTAAATTTGAGGTAGCAGTTTACCCACAGTCAATCTAACAGTCTCATTAGTAACAACAAATTACAACGCTGGTTGGTCCTTCAGTGCTTGTTTAAGGTTGCCATGTAGCCTTCCTTACAGGCCACGGTTTGCTATATGTGATTTCAGTGTCCAAGTACCGTTTAGTCTATGATCTTCGAGGCATCGGCAGAGCTCACTCCTACGAATTCTGAGATCAGTTCTAGTCCAAGAGTTATAATTTTCTTTGTAATTTCCCTCAATACAATCATCATAGTCCATCCAAGTTGTTGCGAACGCGAAGCAGGATTCATTATTCGGCTTACTGCTATTCACTCAAAGCTTCTCTGCTCTCCAGTAGACCGCTCTCTGACAATGGTGCTGTGAGTATAATTAGAATGTTTCCAACACCATCAGGTATTTTTTCCCCGATTTTCGACGTAGTTGTTACCATTTTGTTACTTCTTACATCTATTCACTAACATACTTTTTAATCATCTGTGATCAAGATGTACCGAGGACCTGGGAAAATGCTAGACAAATTCATCAAATGTTATGGCCAGTGACTGAGTGGAGTTGTAGTTACTGTGGTTATAGTTCTGACTCCCACTTTACTAGTTGTATTAGCAAGTACATGTGTCTTCGTTGTAAAAGAAGTCTCACGTCTCACTTTCACTAGTTTGGTTCTTCTAACGATCCATAAACTCTTGTCGGAAGCACAGATATGGGTACCTTATTATAAATCCATAGCAATGCTTGAATACTACAGTGCCGCAACAGGGCTAACTTATCTGCTTCAAAAAGTTGTAATGGAAAGCTGGACCACTCTATCTGGCGGGTAAAGAGCACGCAAATACAATCCACACCACTGTGTTATTTAAACCAAACACTCAGTTTTTGTGAATGCCTGGTGTTTAAGTGTTATTTTCTTATATCCTTTCGCCGCCTACCAGTGCTTTCAGTGGTGTAAATCTGCATCAGTGTGTAGTCATCGTTGCTTACCGAGATATTTTATTACAGCGTTCCGTCTGTGTAACTACCTCAGTACGTTCTAACCACAGGTGATTCTTTTAGTCTCATTTAGATGTATTTGTTCAAATTTAGGTATCTCGAGCTTCGAATCCTCTCCTAAATATTACTTTGACTAATTGCCATTGTTGTTATGATATAGGATTGACGGCGAACCCAGTGCTGCGCAAATATCCGGTTCATTGATTTAAAATTCCGATAAGCTCACCATAAAACGAAATGATAAAATACACTCTTCAGTTAATTGGAACTATTGAAAATAGAGCATTATATGAAGTATATATGGTTCTGCTGCATGTTACTTTCCTCAACAACGTGAAAGCACAATTTTGAAGCGATAATTTTTCGTGGTTGTGGACATACGTAGAATCGAATTTTGTTTTTTATCAACCTGGTTTGTTTTTTGTTGTCGAAGGATTTTCTTTTCATCATATATTCGCGATACTGACCCTCGTTTTCATACTTCGTGGTTAATAATATACCAGTAAAATCTAAGCTCAAAGTGATTCCAATCAGTTAAAGACTGATTTGCCTTAAAATCAAACATCGTCAAATATTTGGAAGGAATGAACTAAATAATTTAAATTTAACCTTATTCTGCTCTGTAAAATTCCACATAATGAATCTGTAACGGTGTAGTACTTAAAGGTTTGCCTCAAAAAGAAAATATGATCGTCTAAGGAAAAACTTTGGGTATTAGTAGAAAGAACCTCAAATCAATTGAAGTCAATCCTTATATGACCTATACTAGTATTTGCAAAAAATTGCTAAAATGCTCCCTGAAAAGTAAAACTATCATCACTAAGGTTATATCGATCAATTTGACATTACTGTGCTCTCAGTATAGCTTATCTAAGTTCAGTTGCATTTGATCAGGAGCCAAATACCACCTTAACTTTAGGCTAAATAAACGATCAGTAGCCTGTGGCTAAATCACTGACTAAACAAACGCTATTCCATACTCTAATAAATGCTGTAGCTAGTATTATTTATATCCCAGTTCCTATGGCACATTAATTTTGTTGGTATATGCTGCATAACTTCTTTTAGCATAGATTGAAATTGAAAGATATTACAGAGATTACGCGCATGTACTTCATAATTTCTCGCACAGTTACTGGTGGTCTTGAGTTTATAAGGTCTGAATTTGATTCACTCAATAACTAAACATGAAGTTATGAGGTCCAGTTTGCTCGAGTGGGGCACATGAAACGAAGAATAACAATTTGTTAGAAAATTAGCAGCCACAAACCAGTGAGAAATCCTTTTCGTCCATTCCCTATAAATTTATTGAGTTCCACGAAAATTTTAATAAATCATTGTTGGTTTATTCTCGATATTTGTTGTTAAATTTGTAATACTACATGCTGAAATTATTCTGTCATTAGTCTGTGGTAAGCAATTGTCTACGTTTATGTTCGGCTTCATACTTTTACTTGTATGAAAACTCATAGTTTATCTTAGTGTATTATGCAATACCACATCGATGTATAAACTACTGTCCATATGTTTCAGTAATCTAGCATTCTTGCACCATGTTGCTAAGTTGTGTTCCCTGAGAGAGTGCAGAACATGGAGATTATAGTAGGACAATAAGTTTAAATAAATCTTCTCCGCAACAGATTCTAACGTCAGAAATTGGGGAATAAAGGAGTTACCGGCCACCAAGCACTAGACATTATTTATTCATGTACCTAAATAAATGGTTGCTCTAATTGTCAGAAGGAGCATCGGACTCGTAACTTCCGAAGGAATTCGGCTTTCATCATGGGGCGTCATAGTTCTTCAAAATGAAGACCTTCGGACTATTAGGGCATGGTTTAAAAGGTTTGAATTATTTTATCTGGTTAGCGTTTTTTAGCGAGATAGTTTTCCGCGGGATGGGGACGATAAATCCATGCCCAACGCTCCACCTTTATATGGGGTAGGGACCAGTTGTAGCCCCGAGGGGACTCCAGGCAGAGTTGGAGGATCTGGACTTCGCAGACGATCTGGCCCTTCTATCCCAAACGCAACAACAAATGCAGGAGAAGACAAACAGTGTGGCAGAAGCCTCAGCAGCAGTAGGTCTCAATATACACAAAGGGAAAAGCAGGATTCTCCGATACAACACAGAATCCACCAATCCAATCACAATTGACGGAGAAGATTTGGAAGATGTAAAAACTTTTACATATTTAGGCAGCATCATTGATGAAAAGGGTGGATCTGATGCAAATGTGAAGGCGCGGGTCGGTAAAGCAAGAGCAGCATATTTACAACTGAGGAACATCTGGAACTCAAAGCAACTGTCAACCAACACCAAGGTCAGGATTTTCAATACAAATGTCAAGACAGTTCTACTGTATGGGGCAGAAACCTGGAGAATTATAAAAGCCATCATCGAGAAATTACAGGTGTTTATTATTATTATTATTACTGGTCGCCAAGATGAAGTTGAAACTCAAGAAGTACTGGACAACGGGGCAGACAGTATCACAAAAGTTCAATACGGCCTTTCTCCAGGATACTAACAAACTCAACAAATTCAAGATAGTCCTCAGCAACAAGTTCCAGGCCTTTCATGATCTACTCAATGAAGAAGGAACTACTGTGGAGAGCAACTGGAAGGGGATCAAAGAGGCAATCACTTCAACATGTCATGAGGTCCTGGGTCACAAGAAGCACCACCACAAGGAATGGATCACTGTTGGTACACTGGATAAGATTCAAGAAAGGAGTAACAAGAAGGCAGCGATCAATACCAGCCGAACAAGAGCAGAAAAAGCCAAGGCACAAGCTGAATACACGGAAATAAACAAA